GATCCCTTTCTCTCTCTGTCTCTCTGAACTTCAGTCTGCTCTGACCCTCGGCGGTTCTACGGCGGCGGGCTAGGATGGCATTCATCATGAGATGTTTTGCCATCTCCCTCCGTGCACGTCTCAGTATTTACTGAGTCATGATATAATCGGGTCTAGGAGTCGTCGTCAGTCCCTGAGGACTGGCTCGATGCTATTGTCCTCCATGTTTGGAAACCAGGGTTTTTTGAGACATCCCCTAAGGACCTCCACCCTATTGCCCTCAGGGGTTGTCTGCAAACTCTTTGAACGTATGGTTAACGTTCGTCTGATGTGGTTCTTAGAACACTATCACCACCTCTCCCCTTCTCAATTTGGTTTTCACAAATGCCGCAGCACAACAGATGGGCCGGTGAACTTGGAGGTCTATATTCGTACTGCTTTTGCTGCGAAGACCTCCGTTGTTGCCGTCCTTTGTGTACCTGGAAAAAGCTTTCGACACCACTTGGCGATTTCATATTCCGTCCCAACTTCATTCTTCTGGTCTTCGTGATAATCTCCCATTCTTTCTCCAACGCTTCTTCTCGTCGTTCCTTTCGAGTGAAGCTTGGTGCCACTCCCTCTGCCTCTTTTCAGCAATACGAAGGTGTGCCCCAACGTAGTGTTCTGAGCACTACTCTTTTTCTGGTTGCCCTCAATGGTCTTCTTTCCTCTCTTTCTTCTCGCGTCTTTATCACTCTCTATGTCGACGATTTTTCCCTTTATTGTCGGGGTGATTATTCGCCTCTCCTTCAACGGCGGCTTCAACTTGCGATTGATGCCGTGTCATCTTGGGCCACCAATCATGGCTTCAGGTTCTCTACTTCTAAGACTTGTGCTATGACTTTTACTGTGAAGCGTGTCGTTCTTCGTCTCTCTTTGTCGTTTTATGGTCAACCCCTTGTGTTCAAGGACTCTGCTAAGCAATTGGGGTTAATCTTTGACTCTCGTTTGTCTTGGTCGCCCCATATCTCTTACTTCCGAGTTGAATGCTCAAAGGCCCTTACCCTCCTTAAGGTTTTGTCCCATACTTCTTGGGAAGCGGAAAGGCGCACGCTCCTCCCTTTACATTCCTCTCTCGCCCTGTTTAAACTCGATTATAGTTGTCCTGCTTACTCGTCTGCTTCTCCTACTTTTCGCCGTCTTGATGCTTTGCACCATGCTGGGTTACGCCTCGGCACTGGTGCCTTTCGTTCGACTCCCGCCCTCAGCTTGTATGTTGATACTGGATTCCTATCTCTCCAGGACCGTCGTATCGCTACTGTCTTCGATATCTGGCGCAGTCCTTGCAACAACCTTCCTCTCTCATCTGTCGTGCTTTGACTTTTACCCCTACAATCCTATTCCTCTTCACCACCACCCTCTTTCTGTCCGGTTATCTCGCTTACAGGATTCGCTTTCAGCTCATATTTCTAATATTTCTCCTTGTATTGTTCCTTCCTTGCCCCGTGGAGAATCCCCCTTCCCAAGTTTTGTACATCCTTGGCCCGCATCACTAAAGCTTTTACCCTTCCTATCTTAGCTCCGTTTCAATCTTCACCGATGGGTCTAAGTCTGTGGACAGTGTAGGCTACTCTGTTGTTTTTTTCTGACTGCACTTATGTGTGTCGCCTACCTCCGGAGACTAGCATCTTCACAGCTGAACCTTATGCTAATCTCTAAGCTCTTCGTCTCCTTCTTTCTCGTTGTCAATCTTCCTTTGTGGTTGTTGTTGACTCTCATAGTGCAGTCATGGCTCTCAGGGTCCTTTAATCCAGTTCATCCCCTGGTCACCGAGATTCAACATTAGCTGTTTCTTATCTCCAGTAGATTTAAGACAGATGAGTTTTGCTGGGTTCACACCAATATTAGTGTGTCTTTAAATGAGCGTGTGGATGCTGCTGCTAGGGAAGATGTCCACTCTTGTCCCATATCCCGTAAAGGTATTCCTTATTCCAACTTTTACCCAGTTATTCATTCCTCAATCCTTACCCGTTGGCAGGATTGTTGGTCTTCTGTTATTGGTAACAAACTCCGTACTCTTAAGAGAAGCGTGTCCTCATGGCCTTCCTCCTACCACCGTAACCGGCGATGGGAAATGGCTCTGGAGTGGTTGCGTATTGGCCATACAAGCTTAACTCACGGTCACTTTTTGGAGCGCCGTCCTGCTCCTTATTGTCCAAATTGCATTATCCCTCTTACGGTCGTGCATATCCTTGCTGAATGTTCTGTCTTCCAGGACGAGTGTGTCTTGCTTTCCGACTGTCCCTCGTGGTCGCTTGTCCCTCGATAGAATTCTTGGTGAATTGGATACTTTTGATATCGTTCGCTTTGTGCATTTCTGTTCTCGTATTTGCATCCTTAGTGATATTTAGCGCCCTCTGATTATTCTGCACATTTGATGGTGCTACATAACCCGGTTTGGGGCCTTCTTTTGATACTTACTGGACCCTGTCTCAAATTTTTAGTGTCCTTGTATCTCTGACTAAATGAAAAATGATGTTAGTCACCCATTTGTAAGAGACTTTCTGCTGTCAACTTCAAGGTACTTGGTGTTCCTTGGTATCTTTCTGACCCTCTAGACTTTGTAACTGTCGGTTATCTTTGTGTTTTCTGTCATGGTTGCTCATGGAGCTTTGTTTACTACCTTTTTCCTCTTATCAGTCGACGTTTAGTGGCTATTTTTATTGTTTGGGGAATTGAACTTTCAACAGGTCAACTGGATCGGTCATTCTTTCATCTGCTCCTTCAGTCCTCCCTCAGAGCCTCGTTGGTTCCATGATGATGTGTTTGCCTTCTGGGCCACCACTCGCAACAGGGTGCCTGCTTTCTTGGATGTCGCTATTATTTAACACACTCGATTAGCTCTGGCAATAAGTTAACAACCACAAGTACTGCAAAGATAGCAAATTCTTTGTTGTTTGATCTCATGGACGTATATGATGAGCATTGTGTGGGTCTATTCTGGATAAAGCTTGGATTGTTTGCAGATGAAGAGTCACGGTAACGTGGCTGAAGATATGATGACCAATCCACATATCAGAAAATGGATAAACAACGTCGTTTCGATCAGTTATTGACCATTATAAAGTCGTGTAATCCGATTTGACAATAATACGGGACGGACCGAAATATTGTCTTTTCTCCATTTTCTGATGATTGGATTGTTCGGCTTTCTCAATACCATACCATGGGCCCTGCTGCCGATAGCATAGGACGTACCATGCTGGTCATAATACTACATTTTCTGTTAATTACCAAACTATGATGGGGAGAAGTACAACCAGCCACATGAGTGCCCCGTTTCTTTTGAGTTGCTCAGAATCATAACCGACATCACGCTCTTCTCAAACTCCTGCTCAGAGATCCGGGCCCATTGCTTCTGGAGATTCAACATTACATTTTTTCCTTCCTTGCCCTCTCCGGTGTGGGATTTCTGAAGTTCACCTTATCCCCCGGATACCCTCTGCTTTATGGTGCTTTCGTTGGTATATATTAATTTACTCTGGTTTAGTTTCACACTTTCTGCACAAGAGAGTTAGCATCGGAAACATCCGGTGCTTGCATCGACAGTTTCCAAAGGGTGTTGCTCAGAAATTGGACGTGAGTGGAATGAGAAGCTCCTTCTTGTCTTGTCCCACCTCATACCCCCTATTGTACTAGCTAACACAAACACCTGTTGGTGGTCAGTATAACAGGTAGATTACTAGTTTTGTAATTATTGTAAGATGTGTCTGTTCTTGCATATTTTAGGGCCAGGACTCATGGTTGTTGGATTTAGTCTCTCGATTATCCTCGTCCCTAAACTACGTGGCAAGACCACCTGCAAAGTTCCTTGACGAGGTGGGGCTAGAAATTTATTAGAATTAGGCGTGTTGATAAAGTTCTGGGTTGACCCAGGACCTGCCATGAGAAGCAAACTCTTCCCTCATAAAGAGGCAGTTTGTTACGAACCAACTCCATCGTCGGAGCATGGAGCAGCGAAGTCTGCTCCCGAAACCCCCACAAAATGGACGACGCCATCTGGTGGTGGCGGTATGATACCCGCAAGAGACTCTAGATTCTTGCATTGGTCAGCCCGAAGAGTCGCTGTAGCTGACCACAGGTGAGGTGGCGCCTAGAAATCAGCGCCATCTATTGGAATATGAGTTGGATGTCAATGTCAGAATCCGTAAGTGGCATGTCCTAGTTTCACAAGTACCGGCCAGTTTACTGATGATGTGTCTGTATCCACAGAGGCGACATAGGGCTGAAATGGTACGAAGATAGTCTACCCAGGGCAAACTATTATCTCTACTCCATTCTGCTTTACGTGAGCAGTGAGCCCAGCAGCGCGAGGCTGCTCACGTAACAGGTCAGGCCCAGCAGCGCGAGGCTGAAGTTCTCTGCCAGCACCAGGCTGGAGAGTGATTGTGGGCGTTCACAAGAAGCACCTAGTGATACTGTAGAGAGGCTGGCCCATGGCGAGGGTAGACTCGTTGGTGTTTCCCAGTACTGGTTGAGGACGGTACTGTGCGTTGAGGAAACACGGAAGTTGACCAGGCTGCATTGCATTAGCATCGAGGAGCACTTAGTGTCCTATGAGAGCGACACATGTGTATATAACAGTGTAGTAATACTTCGTTTATGATTCTATTTAGGGTGATGGGAAAGTGATATGTGAATATATTGATAAAGGATGAAGTGTCGTATTCCTTTCAACTCCCCCCATGTTATTCTACTTGCATTACAAAGCCTACTCCTTGAAAGCCACTACCGACTTGGAGTCGGATATTAGTACTTTCGTTCTTCCAGCAAAGGACCCGGTTGCGACCCTTAGTGTCCGTAAAACAGTTCATTCCACTCAATGTCTTATTTGACTATCTTCCCCCACCTCTAATAATAATTTCAATACCATCCCATCCAAGTGTGGTACACCTGTGCAAGTGAAAGTAAGGTTTGAAATATAGAATCTATTTTTGATTAATTTGAAGGCATTTTCAACATAACTTTAATAAAATACCACATGACCAGTTTGTGCCCCTAAATATGTCATGGTTACCATTGACATTGATATGACAGTTTTCAATAATCTCAACATTCATGATAATTTTGTCTGGAGCTTGGATATGTACTGTGGTACTCTGCAGATTACGAGCGCTGAGGCTCAGGTGTATGACACAGTGATCTTCGACATGCTGGAGGATGGCGAGCCCATGGTGCAGAAGCTCTGGCCGCGGCACAGTGTGCAGAACACCTGGGGCTCCAAGCTCCACCAGGACCTCAAGGTAGCCCTGATGGAGATCTGGACATTGGAAAGGAAAATGAATGTTTTGGCCGTTTAACAGCCGTTGTCAACACTAGACTGATGTTGGTGGTGTCAGTCTGGTGTTGACAACGGCTGTAAAACGGCCGAAACGTTCATTTTCCATTCCAATTTCATTACGGATTTTCCGCCTACAAATAATCAGTGTTAAGTGAATGTCAATTGCATGCATGCATATATATATATATATATGTCGTACCTAGTAGCCAGAACGCACTTCTTAGCCTACTATGCAAGGCCCGATTTGCCTAATAAGCCAAGTTTTGATGAATTAATTGTTTTTCGACTACCTAACCTAACCTCACTTTTTCGGTTACCTAACCTAACCTAACCTATAAAGATAGGTTAGGTAGGGTTGGTTAGGTTCGGTCATATATCTACATTAATTTTAACTCCAATAAAAAAATTGACCTCATACATAATGAAATGGGTAACTTTATCATAAGAAAAAAATTAGGGAAAATATATTAATTCAGGAAAACTTGGCTTATTAGGCAAATCGGGCCTTGCATAGTAGGCCGAGAAGTGCATTCTGGCTACTAGGTACGACATATATATATAATATATATATATCTATATATTTAATATATATATATATCTATATATACGGGGTGCCAACTAAGGTGCAAGTGTAGGGACCCATAGCCTCAGAGAAGAAAATAAAGAGCACTCAGAAAAGACCTTGTGGATACTAAATGAACACTCTGATATTTTCTTCTACCACCCCTATTCTTTTGGTATGTGAGTATATATATCTAACTTGAAAATTTCATTACACAAAAAAGGGTTACAACATTGGTTACATGCAGGGTACAAGGATACTTGATACAAGTTGTAGAGCTCCTCTAGCTCCTCAGATGGCGGGCAGGAACCATGGATGCAGTGAGCATTTCCTCTCTGGATCGCCACACTAAGGCGCTGAAAGAGAAAATTGGCAGCTCCAAGGTCTGTAGTTGTTTCAATTAGCTTGGACCCCGACTCCTAACTAAATATATATATATATATATATATATATATATCTATATATATATATATATATATATATATATATATATATATATATATATATATTTTTATAAAATGCACCTAGTAGCCAGAACGCTGTTCTAGGCCTACTATGCAAGGGCTGATTTGCGTAATAAGCCAAATTTCCCTGAATTTCAATATTTTTCATTTTTTTTCTTATGAAATGATTAAGCTATTCATTTCATTATGTAGGAGCTATTTTTTTTAAATACTAGTTAAAACTAACGTAGATATATGACCCGACCTACCCAGCCTACCTAACCTATCTTAACCTAACCTAAACTAACATAACTAAATCAATAATTTATGTTCTTTATATAATATAATAATATTTAAAATATACCAATAGGAAACAATTTATTGAAAATATAGAAAATCACTCGGCCTGTTAGGCAAATCGGGCCTTGCATAGTAGATCAAGAAGTGCGTTCTGGCTACTAGGTACTAATATATATATATATATATATATATATATATATATATATATATATATATATATATATATATATATATATATATATATATATATATATATATATATATATTTTATATATATAATATAATAAAATGTTGTTGAATATGACCCAAAGGGTAAGTTTAATGATTCCAACACGAATCTTCTTAATATTTCTTATGTTTTTCTTCACTGTCAAGGTAGTTGAAAAATTAACTCTCCAAAGTTCATTTTCACTTGTTTATTTATGGTCTGACACCTTGAAGCGTTTCATAAGGGCACTTCTCACATTTTTAAAGACATTTTGTAGTTACTCAGATCGTACTTATATTTGTTTTTGGGTGAGATGATGGGATACAAATGTTTTTGGGTGAGGTGACAGGAAACAAAAGACAAAACACGAAACAATGGATATACATTGGATATATACAATGGGCATATAACCATGGATATACATTCTATCCTCTTGCTTGTGGTGTTTTTGTAGTAGATTGTTAATTGTATCTTCTGATTTTTGTCTGTGGGGATAACGTTCCAATTAATAATATCTTTCAAGTCAATGCAGAGGAAGGAAAAAACGTTGGAAAGTGTCCTGAAATATAATATTAATAGGAACGTTATCCCCACAGACACAAGTCAGAAGATACAATTAACAATTTACAATAACAAGAAAATGGACAACCTACTTATCAATAAGAACTCTCCAGACACGAAACAGAACGCCTTGAAGGAAATCATCGTCCACTATGCTTTAACGTGCCCACTTGGGGACTGTCAGCCCCAAATATCTCAGTATATAGGCAAGATGAAAATGTCTCTTTCTAGGCGATTAACAATGCATAAACAACAGGGCTCCATCAAGGAGCATATAATCTCCACACACAACCAGACCATCACCAGAGATATCTTAACAAGCAACACAGAAATTATCGACAGATACAACGATAACAGGAGGCTCGACATCAGTGAAGCCCTAAACATCAAAAAGTCAAAACCACAAAATAACAGCCAGTTAACACGTAATTACATTCTATCCACTTCAAAACCCCGAACCAGCACAGAAGCAAAAGGATAGAATGTATAGCCATGGTTATATGCCCATTATATATATATCGAATGTATATCCATTGTTTCGAGTTTTGTCTTTTGTTTCCTGTCACCTCACCCAAAAACATTTGTATCCCATCACCTCATCCAAAAACAAATAAGTACGATCTGAGTAACTATGAAATGGCTTTGAAAATGTGAGAAGTGTTTTTATGAAACGCTTCTAGGTGTCAGACCATAAATATACAAGTGAAAATGAACTTTGGAGAGTAAATTTTTCTATACTTTTACGTTGGTTACTATACGTTTTCATCAAGCCACTGTTAATGTGGGAGAACTCGTTTCCATGCTATAAGCCCATACTTGCTTAAACCACAAGTGAAGATTAACAATCTTCGGACAACACCCACCAGTGGGCCTCGAACCCAGAAAGCACAACTACCTTCCAGTAGCTGCCATAACTAGTACCCTTAACCCACTACACCACTCAGACCCTTAAAAGAAGTAGAGATTTCGAGGTATATATACACCTCAAATATCCCCACTTCCTAAGGGCACTAGACTAGTGAGGGGTTACTATACGTTTTTCATCAAGCCACTGTTAACGTGGGAGATCTCGTGTCCATGCTATAAGCCCTTACTTGCTTAAACTTTGAGTTACAAACCCATTAAGATTTCAACTTGGATCCAACAGAGCAGAAGAAGTTGTTAAACACACGTGGCAAAATCTTACTGAAGCGACCATACGAGTCATAAATACTCATACTCCGCTCAAGAAAGAAACAGAAAGAAGCACCACTTAGTAGGCCAGCCAGAGACTTTGGGCCAGCACAGGAATATCCCTGGAAAAAAAAACTTCTGCTCGAAGCACAATACTGTCCACGGAGCTCAAAGTGGTAGCTAAGAGCCTTTGCAAGAACAAGGAGATAGTCGTCAGGAGAGGTGACAAGTCATCAATATACGTTATTCTTAAACAAGACGAATATCTGGCGAAAATGAACCTCATACTTTCTGACCAAACTAAATTCCAAAGGGTAACGAAGGACACTACAGCCGAAGTGAAAACGAAGATAAACTGATTAATCGAAACTGTGAATGCCAAGAAATCCGGACTCCACCTACCAAAGGTTATTGGGGAATAGAAACCTGGGTATGCGTATGGAAATGTCGAGACCCACAAGCCAGGAATCCCACTTCGGCCAATCATCAGCCAGATACCTACACTCACATACAGACTGGCTAAGCGACTCAATGGCTTGCTGACTCCTTATGTACCTTATGCTTTCAGCCTGAACTCTCCAAAGGAATTTGTTGACTTACTGCGGGGAACATGGGCCACAGGGATAAGAGCCTCGTTGGATGTAGAATCACTGTTTACCAACGTACCTGTGGATGAAACAATTGGTATGATTGCAGACAGAGTGTATCGTGATCCGGCTTGAACTCCTCTTGACATACCAGAAAACATACTTAAAAATCTACTCCAAGCTTGCACTAAGAGGCACCCTTCTTGAGCCCAGATGGGCACATGTATAAGCAATTAGATGGGGTTGGCATGGGTTCTCCCCTAGGTGTCCTGTTTGTGAACTTCTACATAGGTACCATCGATCAGAAAGTCTTGGTTGACATGGACTTGAAACCCATTATATACTGCAGGTAGGTTGATGACATTTTTATGCAGGTACTTGATGCCAGACGTCTGCAGGATCTGAAGGGGGCTTTTGAGCGGAATTCTGTGTTGTTTCACTTACGAGATGGAGAAGGATGGGAAGCTGCCCTTTCTAGATGTGACGGTCATGGAAAGGAGCGGAGGCTTCCACACTACAGTCTACACTATGGAAACAAACATAGGAGTGTGCCTCTATGCCAATAGTGACTGCCCAGACAGGTACAAGAGAAGTGTTGTCATCCCTTATGTCGACCGGGCTCTCAGCCACAGCTCAGGATGGAAGCTAGTTGATGAAGAACTCTGTAGGGTAAGGCAGGTCCTAGTCAAAAATGGCTTCTCAAATGGTTTTGTTGAAGACATCATAAAAAGAAAGGTAAAATGCCATGCAACCTCTGAAGAGTCAACTAACACAACACATGTGCCCCCTATTAGACTATTTTACAGGAACTTCTTTTCGACGGCTCATAAAACGGAGGAAAGGGTCCTGAAAGATATTGTTGATAGGAATGATATCCCTACAAACAAAAATCAGAAAATACATTGACGATTTACTATAAAACCAAAAAATCAGCCAACCTACTCATGACAAACTCTCCAGACACCAAGCAGAATGCCTTGAAGGAAACCAACGTCGTCAAGGCTTTCAAATGCTCACTTGGGGATTATAAGCCTCAAGGAACTCAGTATATAGGCAAGACAACAACGTCTGTTTCCAGGCGATTAACAATGCATAAACAACAGGGCTCCATCAAGGAACATATAATCTCTTCTTAAAACCAGACCATCACCAGAGAAATCTTAACAAACAACACGGAAATGCAGGCGATGATTCACAGTAACGTGGCTAAAGTATGTTGACCAGACCACACACTAGAAGGTGAAGGGACGACGACGTTTCAGTCCATCCTGGAGCGTTCTCAAGTCGAATTCTCATCGACTTGAGAATGGTCCAGGACGGACCGAAATGGCGTAGTCCCTTCACCTTCTAGTGTGTGTGGTCATGTCAACAACACAGAAATCATCGATAGATACAGCGATAGTAGGAGGCTTGAAATCTGCGAGGCACTACACATCAAAAAGTCAACACAAGCAATCAACAGCCAATTAATGCACAACTATATTCAACCCACTTCAAGACTTCAAAAGAATATAGAAGCATCATGGGCCAATATGCCTTCTGCAGTTACTTCCATTCTTATGTTTTTATACCCATTGTTTTTTGTTCTATCATGTGTAAATGTCAATCATCTCACCAAAAACTTTTGTACCATATCACCTCACCCAAATGCGAGTATAAGTATGGAAGTATTTTGCGTGTTTACAGGTTAGTTGCGTGTGTAAACTAAAGTCTTTGAAAATGTAATAAGTTATTCCGAAACAGGTTCAGGCGTGAGACTAGAAATAAAAATGAATTTTAGAGAATTGATTTTTCAGTGTCCATCGACAGTGAAAAGAAACATAAGAAATATTGAGAAAATTCATGTTAGAAGTATTATTACCTTTTCGGTCGTATTAAACAACATATGTTTAAAAGAAAGACTGCTACAAAAATATACTAATTATATATATATATATATATATATATATATATATATATATATATATATAATTTATATATATATCTTCTGTGTACACAGAAGACAATGTCCAACATAACAGGCCAATTACACTGGATTAATCTTTGTGTTTAGATAGGAGATGCCTCGTATGGGCCAATAAGCCTTCTGCAGCCCCTATGTTTATCCCTTATGTATCCCCCCATGTTTTCACCTTCATTGTATTATCACCTGACCTAATGCGGGTATAAAATCAACTAGTATTGTAAGATCTGTTCACTTGAGAATGAACCATGGAGGTTCGAAACGTCGTGCAAATTATACAAATAAGTGTAATACACTCTATAGTAAATCACTTCTTTTCTTCACCTTAAAAGTACGAAAATGAGTTTTGGAGAACTCCTATTTCAATTAAGCCCTGATGCTAAGAAAATAGTTAGAGGGATAGAAGCCCTAAACCAGAAAATAATAAATATATATATATATATATATATATATGTCGTACCTAGTAGCCAGAACTCACTTCTCAGCCTACTATTCAGGGCCCGATTTGCCTAATAAGCCAAGTTTTCCTGAATTAATATATTTACTATAATTTTTTTCTTATGAAATGATAAAGCAACCCTTTTCTCTATGTATGAGGTCAATTTTTTTTTATTGGAGTAAAAATTAACGTAGATATATGACCGAACCTAACCAACCCTACCTAACCTAACCTAACCTATATTTATAGGTAAGGTTAGGTTAGGTAGCCAAAAAAAGCTAGGTTAGGTTAGGTAAGGTAGGTTAGGTAGACGAAAAAACATTAATTCATGAAAACTTGGCTTATTAGGCAAATCGGGCCCTGAATAGTAGGCTGATAAGTGCGTTCTGGCTATTAGGTACGACATATATATATATATATATATATATATATATATATATATATATATATATATATATATATATATATATATATATATATATATATATATATGCAAACAAGCCTGAATGGTCCCCAGGACTATATACAACTGAAAACTCACACCCCAGAAGTGACTCGAACCCATACTCCCACAACTGGTATGTACAGGGATCAAGCGGATTAAGGCGTCCCTGTACATACCAGTTGTGGGAGTATGGGTTCGAGTCACTTCTGGGGTGTGAGTTTTCAGTTATATATATATATATATATATATATATATATATATATATATATATATATATATGTCGTACCTAGTAGCCAGAACGCACTTCTCAGCCTACTATGCAAGGCGCAGTTTGCCTAATAAGCCAAGTTTTCATGAATTGTTTTTCGACTACCTAACCTAACTTTTTCTGCTACCTAACCTAACCTAACCTATAGAGATAGGTTAGGTTAGGTAGGGATGGTTAGGTTCGGTCATATAATTACGTTATTTTTAACTCCAATAAAAAAAATTGACCTCATACATAATGAAATGGGTAGCTTTATCATTTCATAAGAAAAAAATTTGAGAAAATATATTAATTCAGGAAAACTTGGCTTATTAGGCAAATCGGGCCTTGCATAGTAGGCTGAGAAGTGCGTTCTGGCTCCTAGGTACGACATATATATATATAATATATATATATATAATATATATATATATATATATATATATAATGTGTGTGTAATAATGTAATACATTCATCCATTCCATCATTAAAATGCTAAATTTTATATGCTTACATTATCCTAAGGCAGGGGTGGGCATCCCCTTGAAGTGTACATGCTAAAATCTCCAAATCATTTATTCAAAATTTTCTCGTGTGCTAACCGAAATTATGGGATCATTTTATTATTTTATGCTCTTTTAAGTATTTGGAGATTTCAAATAAGCGAATATCTTACTATATCAGTTAAATCAAAGAATATTTCAACAGTGAGTACTGTAGTTGATGATGGAATGAATGAATGTGAAACTTAGTGACATAAATTTTACTCAAATGCTGTTCTACGCTGTTGATTGCGATTTTTCTTTTTTTTTATCAGCCTTTAAGTGCAATTATCACTGTCATATACACCAACATAATTTAAAAACAACTTTTAATGTTTATTCTTTTGTTGATGTTAATTCAGAATTTTGTATGTTGTTTTATTGTCTCATCAGCCATATATTTTCACATTTTCTCAATACATTACAGCGCCAAATCTCGTAATAGTTTTACTTGGCTAAAGCACAATAAAACAAAATAAAATTAGATCTTATTTTATTAATTCTTCATCTCTTATGAGTAATACAAAAAATTACACAACTCAGAATGTCATCATAATCACTCTCTACATACACCTACTAAAATTTATGAAAATTGGTTCGTGGGCAAGCATTCAAAAATATTATTACAATTATATAGCTACCTTCAGTGATGGTGTAGGAGTGAGGGGACGTGTGGCCGCCTGCCGAGTGATGCCGCAACTGAACGAGATAAAACCTGTATGTCAGCAGCCTCTCCTCCAAATAGACTCAGTCCATTCCATGCATCTATCAAACCTCGTTTATGAATGAAAACCCGTTTACACTCGACTCACAACTGATGACGTCAGAACACTTCCTGAACAAGTACTCACATATTTGTGCTTGCGGGGGCTGAGCTCTGGCTCTTCGATCCCGACGTATTTTCTTCGAACCACAACGCAGTACATGCCAGCCCGTCCCCCAAACATCGACCCAAAAGTGATTCCATGCTCCCGCCAAATCCCCTGTTAATGAATTAAAAAAGATATACAAACGACTCTCAACTGATTTCGTTCGAACAAGTGCTTCACTGACGAATTTTGTTCGAACTACAACGCTATAAATTCTTCACCCACGTACCACATTACAAATAATCGCCAACAGAACCTAAACACCTAACCTAACCAGTGCCTAAATATGTACAATATGGTAATATAAAATAATGATAATTAATATTTGAGAAAATTCCTGTTTTGAATGAACAGCATATTAAAATTTAAGAATGCGTCTTTGGGGTCGACAGCTGGATGGAACGGACTTAGTTTGAGGACGGGTTGACGTCAGTGTATCCCGGAGTCAGATGGCTGGGAAATAAAATGTTTGTTTCATTTTTCATTACTAATTGTTACTAAAACAGCTGTCACTGTTTTTACTGCATTTTTATTTGGTATCGCTTTACTTAATAAAATGGTATTTTATACATATACAACTCGGTGAAGTTGGATACTTATTTAATTAATCTTTTAAGGTGACCCCCCTGTGTATCGCATGCCAGAAAAAATGTCGTTTGCATGTCAAGTTTGGCATGGGTGCCAAGGTTTGCCCTCTCCTGTCCTAGGGTCTAACCACTATAATATGTTTTTAACACTTCTGCAAAGAATTACTCTCATTATATTACACATATCCATGTTAATGCTTTATTCTGTAAATGTAACCAATCATTTATATTTTTGTACAATTATAGTTGCTGGTTATTCACTTTCCATTCCAGGTTCCCGAAGATGCTGTGTTTGTGTACAAGGGAACTGACCCAGACGTTGACTCCTACAGTGCTTTCTGGGATAACATAAAAAAGTCACAATCTTCCTTAAACGAGGAACTGCAAAAGAGGAGTGTCACAGACTTGTTTTTGTGTGGTATTGGCTATGATGTCTGCGTTGGTAGGTTCTGACCTTCGCTGCCTGCTACTTGTACTTTTGATCTTTTGAGTGAACTGTCACACTCTTAACCACACAGCTGAATATTTATGTATCCCAACCCTGATCCTCAGCCTTCTGTTATCTTGTAACCTTACACATACAGTTATTCTAAGATCACCACATGTCATCTGCTCTTCACTTCGCATCACTGCCTCTGTGATATATATGATCTGTTAATTAATATTATCATCATCAGCTTGTGAAAATAATATTGTTTTGTAATACTGAAAAATAATTTGCTACACCATCATTAATGTGAACTCAAAGGTTCACACTCGGGGGATGGTATCACTAGTGATATATCGGGGACCTGTGCGTCCCAGCTCTATCTAAATGACTTATTCATTTACAGCAGCGACAACCAGGCATGCTATCGAAGAGGGCTACCGGGCTGTGCTTGTGGATAACGCAACGAGAGGGGTCTGCGACTCCGACATCCAGGCTACTAAAGATCACACCATTGCTAACAATGGGCTCATTGTTCACTCATCACAGGTATGGTCATCCAGTTTTTAATTTCCTTTGCATTAATATAGGTTTAAAACAAAGCTATGGCCCCGTTATTCCTGTCTGCTAATAGATGTTTGAGTATTGTCTTCATTTGTAGTTTAAATTAGAAAGTTCCATTACGGAATTTAAAACTCCAATTACTCCAATCGCTGTTTGTAATTACATCCTGTGCTTGAATCGGCTTATCTGATGCCTTATTATGAATTCTTACATTTTCATGCCCACCATGATGTAGGACTTTTAATTAGCTGAGCTATATAAGGGCTAAAGTTATTAACAGACCCTCTTCTTCCACACACACACATGCACTTGAAATGGGACATGATCCTAATATACAAATTACTTTGACTAAACGTTATGGAAGACAGTCTGAATTATGATACTAAGCAGCAACAGAATGAGAGATTTTGAGTGGACGTTCGACAAACGGATGAGTCACAAGGATTCTAAAAAGAATGGTATTTGTGTGATAAATTATGATGACCAATAGTAAGAACTATACGGAAAACACGACGGTGAACGAAAGGGTTTGGAGTCGTCACAAACATTAGAAAAATAGAAAACTGCTGGAAACGTGGCCAGAAACATGTTGCAAGTCCTACACTGTTCAAATACATGTATAAAACCCAAACACACACACACACATGTGCTGTCCACTCATCCACAAGGCCCCAAGTAGTCGTAATCCTAATGACCTGTGTTCGTTTCCCGGCGGAGGCGGAAACAAATGGGCAGTTTCTTTCAACCTGATGCGGCTGTTCACCTAGAAGTAAATAGGTACCTGGGAGTTACAGTTGTTATAGGCTGTTTCCTGGGGATGTGGGTGTGTGTGCATGTGTCAGAGAGAAATATATATAGTAGATATAATAGATGAAAATAAATTGGTTAGAAAAGCGGGATCCAAGCGCTAAAATCTCGATTCTGCAAACACAAATATTTAATACAAATAGTAAATACACAGTCTGTAGTGGTGTGTGCATGTGGGCAGAGGTGTGGTGGCGGTAGACTCCATACACACTTTCAAATGTAGATTTGATAGAGCCCAATATTCTCCAGAATCTGTACACAAGTTGATTGACAGTTGAGAGGCGGGACCAGAGAGCCAAAGCTCAACCTTCGCAAGCACAACTAGGTGAGTACACACACAAACACACATCTCCCAGGCTTCCGCCTACTCCCTGACTCCCACTCAATCCGTAACCCCCACACACTCTCTGACACTAGTAAAATCCTCCTTGTAAAATGGAGGTGGAAGTTCGAAGAACTCGAAAATCAGAGTGAAAACTTATTCACAGACTCCATCATTGGGACACTGACCGCAGATTGAAAAATAACTGTGGTCCTGGTAATTTATAACCCCCAACAAACAACAAAAGAACTAGGCAGGAATAGGATAAAAACAACAAAGCAGGCATAGAGGCATTGCAGAGAGCAGCAACAGTGGCACACGGAATGAGAGCTAAACATCTAGTCATGGGAGACCTAAATCATGGAGAGTTTGACTGGGAATTCAGAAATCCTCATGGCGGGGAAGAAACGTGGGAAAATTGGGGGAAGTTGTAGAAAGAAACTTCTTAACATAACATGTAAAGGAGGACACAAGAGACAAGAGCGGAGTTGCACCAAGTTTACTGGACTTTATTTTCACCCATAATGAGGAATACATTGAAAACGTAGAGCATGAAATACAACTAGGAGCAAGTGACCATTGTGTCCTGGTGTTCCACTACATGATGGAACTCAAAACAGTGTCCATAAGACAAGGAGTCAGGGAAGGGAGAGTAGACTATAAAAAAGGAGACTATTTGAAAGTAAAAGAGTATCTGGGAAGTGGGCAATGGGAGGAGGAACTCGGAGGAAAGGCTGTACATGTAATGATGGACCAAGTAAAACTGAAGTGCAAAGAGGCAGAAGAGAGATTCATTCCACCATTAAGAGTAAAACGTAGGAGGGCATATAAAAACCCTTTGTTCAATAGGCAGTGCCGGGAAGCAAAACAAAAAGGAAGGAGGGAGTGGAGGAAACATAAAAGGCAAAGGACAGAAGTAAACCGGGTTAGAGGCAACAGGCCCAGGAATGACTACATAAACATAAGAAAATTAGCAGAAAGAAACTATGAAAATGATATTGCCTACAAAGCAAAGAAACAACCGAAACTCCTACATAACCATATAAGAAGGAAAATGACAGTGAATGACCAAGTGCCCAGGTTATGAAAAAGTGGGGTCCAGTATACAGAAAATTAGAAAGAAATTTGTGAGGAGCTCTATTCCAGCTTCCGTGGAGTGTTCATTACTGAGCCTGAACAGCTCCCGGAGCTCGATGTGGAAGCAGTCCCCGAAAAGAAACTTCTAAATATTGAGGTAACAGCAGAACAAGTAAGAATACAGCTAGCGTCATTGGATGTAAATATAGCTTCTGGCCCTGATAGAATATAGCCATGGATGTTAAAAGAAGCAGCACTGGCTCTCAGCATACCTCTAGCACTAATCTATAATGAATCACATACACAGGGGAAATAGCCCAGATGCTGGAAGAAGGCAAATGTGTCGGGATCGCTGAGCCCAGGTTCATTCCGAAAGCAGCTATACTTAACTATAACTCCCTTGCCTCAGGAACAGTTATTTCCACCATGTAATTCCCTTCACCAAATCCTTTGTACTCACTTAGTTGTACTAACCTAGTTGTGATTGTGGGGGTTGAGCCTTGGTTCTTTGGTCCGCCTCTCAACCGTCAATCAACTGATGTACAGATTTCTGAGCCTACTGGGCTCTATTATATCTACATTTGAAACTGTGTATGGAGTCAGCAACCACCACATCACTTCCTAGTGCATTCCATTTACTAACTACTGACACTGAAGAAGTTCTTTCTAATGTCTCTGTGGCTTATTTGGGTACTCATCTTCCACCTGTGTCGCCTTGTTCGTGTACCACCCGTGTTAACCCTTCGAGGCGTACCACTTGATTTATTCAGGAACTAGATGAAAGAACTTATGGAAAGTGATTAAAGGCCATCGGGTTTTTCCAATTTAATTACATAAATATACTTTGATAATAATTAACACATTAACCTGCTGTCTCTGGTTAAATCAGCTACCAATACACACAAACACACTGTATTTTCCCTGTCACCACCTGAACCCGTAATCTCTGCCTAAGTCCCTAATACCGAATCATCACTACAACTTTCCACATCCGGTTAGTCTTCCATGCAATACTCACATACTGCAGACTCGACTCAGTCACCAAGATTGCATTCGGTCAGGTTCACTTCGTTGCTGCCACAGACCATGATAAGGAGATCTTGCTAGAACCCCTCCTACCACGAGACTGCGCTCAAGCCGGTTATAGCCTCAACCACTTCACCCTGCATTACAAGGAGGGTATACGCCGATTAATTATAAATCTCCTTGTTCCCAAGAACTTAGAGGTCACCCCTTATCCACATGGCTGGCACATTCGTTTGGGTGGGCAACTGCTGTCTTAATCCCTTTGACCTTATCTCGATATGTGACCAGTCTGAATACTTAATATGTCCTTTCAATCTTATGCAATCTCAAGTCGATTGCATACAGTCGACTTCAGAATGGGCCAGGACGGACCGAAACGTCGTCGTCCCTTCACTTTCTAATGTGTGGTTTGGTCAACATATTTCAGCCACGTTGTGACTCCTCGTCTGCATGTACTTTCA